TAGTGAGGTTTACTTTTCTGGTAGGATGGCAATATTGGGCCTTTTACTGTCCAGGGCGCTGTACTCCATTCCACCTTTTCAACCCCCAGGACTGATTTCTTTGTCTTCATGGAATTGAAGATGAAATATAAATAATAATTATGGCAGCCGGTACCCCCCTAATGCCTGCCATTTTCACTCCTTCGCTCTTTTACTCATATACAAATAATATTTATTTCCTCTTTTCCAGCCCTAGCGTACACTTAGTTCTGCTTTAAATTACACTGAATTAATAGTAAAATTTCCTCTTCAGGAACCCTCTTCACTGACTCACTTTTCCTTAACTTCACAAAACCCTATACATTTAAACACCTTATTCACCCTCCTTACCCACCGCACTTCACAGTCGGCTTCACCCAATGAACTTCTAACTCCTTTCCATTCTGGTAGACCAGAAGGTTTAATCAATGGGTTTTTATCCTTCCAAATCCCCCTCAATTCCATTTTATCGGGGGTTGTGTGGTGTTGTTGTCTACCTGAATTGTTTTGTGACTCAGCCATTTTTAAAACACTGAGGGAGTACACACACCTGACTTTCCTTGAGTATTATAGATATATTTGGCTTTTTCTTGCTATGATTCTCTCAACTTGTACACTGGTCAGCTGAATAAGGTCAGCTTCTAAAACATTAACCTTGACTATTTAACTATTCCTTCTTTCCACGACTGGCACTGAGGATACCGTATATACCTTGGAGTTTTGTACTGTTTGATTTTGACGTGTCTCCTGTGTTTCCCTATCGTTAGCACTGGTTACAGGTGATATGATGGTGTAACAGATATGATATGCTAATGTCAACAGATGAACGTTCAGTAAAAGATTGAGAATTTCTTTGGCTAGATGTACGTCTGGAAGTAGCTGCTGTATTGAATGCGGTCAGCCATGTTTTAAAGGTCTCAAATCTTTCTCCTCGTTTGCACTGACGAAAAATAGTCCTACAGACCTGGCATTCCTTGGAGATTTAGTTTGATCTGGATTTCTTGCCTATGTTGTCTTCCGTTAAAAACTTGGTTGCAGTTGATATGGAGGTCAGTTATTTCTTTAGTGGAAAAACGTCTCTTGTCTGGTTCACGTATGCAGCAGGTCTGGTACCTTGAATGCGCGTCCCTTCTCTTCTGTCATATTTAGTCCATTTCGTTGTCGTCACCGTCAGTTTTATGTTGTAACTATGGTTCACTTGCATGTTGTGCAGATTTACATGCAAATTTGGCATCATGGAGTTCGGATAGGCCCAGGGACGGCAAGATATAGGAGCTGCCTTGTTGCTGCTTGCTGCGGCTGCTTGCTGCGGCTCATCCTGGCACTCCTTGAATCATAAAGACACCCTTCTCCTGCATTATTCTTACTGAGACCTGGCTTAAGCAGGACACAATAGATATCTACCCTCTACCAGGATACACAGCCAATCCACATCTGCAGACCATAGCAGTTGGGGGTGGTATAGCCAATCTATTACTCTAACCAATTTATCTTGTTATTTAGCACCCACTTGGTTTAGTGATGAATATGGAGAACACATTTTGCTAATTCTCTACTGTAAAAACCTTAAGGCACCATATAAAATCGGTGCATTTACCGGATACCCCACAAACATCCCAAATTTCAGTGAGAAATTAAAGGCACTATTAACAAACAGACAAATGAATAAGCAACCACCTTCTCTTAGCTGGAGACTTCAACATCAACTTGGCCTACTACATGGATCATGCCCTTAATGATTTCATCAACAATATGAACAACCACCACTTCTCATACAGCAATAACTAAAAACCAGGCTCACTGAAACAAGTGCAACCATTAATAGACCACATATGGACCAATATATCTAGCCCCCCTTAAATCTGGGATAACAAGATAGCACTACAGACCACTACCTACCTTCCTCTTGACAAACATTAGTAAACCACCACTTGAATACAATCAAGTTTTTCATTTAGGCCTCAATTAAGGATGTCACAGCTGCCTAGAGACTGTTGACTGGACAACAGATTCTCCATGGCCAATGGTATTGATGGATCTGGACAGACATTTTTCTTAACAAATTATTAGACTATACAACAAAATTGTACTATAAAAACGAAACAGAAAAATCATCAAACAAACGGCTTGGTTGCCCATGGCTAACCGCACATTGTCTGGAAATCCATTGATAAGAAACACACAATATGGAAAAGCCAATATAGACAGGGCCTAATCACGAAAGATATTCTTAAACACTATTCATCAGTCCTCACCACAAAGTAAAAAGAAAGCCAAACAAACTATACTACTCCAAGTAGATTCACTGAAACAAGAGGAGATATAAAAAAGACCTGGAAAACACTCTCTCAGATTCTAGGGACCCACCAAACTGAAAACAAAACAAGAATATTGTCCTAACTAAACTAATGAAACACCACTGCATCCCACTTGACACAGCTAACAGATAAACGACTTCTTCTCAGCCATAGGATCTAATCTCGCCAATAAAATCCCCACTTACCCCCCCCCCCAGCCCCCCTGCGGGCGACTACATAGATGGAACTTCCCAAATTCCTTCTGTCTTGCACCAACTGAGCCCACGGAAGTCACCGAGATTATAAGTCACTCAAAAATAATCGGGAATCTGTCTCATGTCCCACCATTATTGTACAAGCGAGCGGCCCATGTCCTCTCGCATGCTATCTCATTATTTTTTTAAAACAAGTCACTAGAAACTAGCACCTTCCCGAAACTACTCAAGACGGCAAGGGTTACACCAATACGTAAAGGTGGTGACCCTACAGATTTAAACAACTATAGGCCAATATCAAACTTACCATTGCTATCCAAAATCTTTGAGAAACTCGTGCACAGGAGACTATATTCATTTATAACGGCACAAAACATACTCAACCCCTGCCAATTTGGATTCAGGAAAAATAAAAGCACTAACGATGCAATCATAAAAATGCTAGATCTGCTTTACACAGAATTGGAAAATAAGGAATATCCACTAGGAATTTTTATTGACCTAAGAAAAGCTTTTGACACAGTAGACCACGGCATCCTACCACAAACTTGACCATTATGGTATAAGGCCATGCGCTTGCATATTTCAAATCTTACCTTACTAATAGGTATCAGTATGTCACCATTAAAGACACAGCATCAACAACACGGCCACTTGATACTGGAGTTCCACAGGGAAGTGTCCTTGGTCCCCTGCTCTTCCTCATATACATCAGTGATCTTCCAAACGTATCTCAACACCTGAACCCCATTCTCTTTGCTGACGACACAACTTATGTCATCTCTTACCCTAATCTTGCCACCCTCAACACCATTGTTAACGAGGAGCTGATCAAAATATCGACTTGGATGACAGCCAATAAACTTACGCTTAACACTGACAAAACCTACTACATTATGTTCGGTAGCAGAGCAGGAGATGCGCAAATTAACATTAAGATCGACAACACTCTAATTGCCAGACATAATGAGGGCAAATTCCTAGGCCTATACCTCAACAACAACCTGAATTTCAGCACCCATATCCAGCACATAACCAAAAAAGTATCCAAAATGGTTTGGATCCTCTCCAAGATACGATACTACATACCGCAAACTGCCCTTCTCACACTATACCATTCACTTATATATCCATACCTCACCTATGCTATCTGTGCTTGGGGTTCAACTGCAGCAACACACCTAAAGCCAATAATACCCAACAAAAAGCCGCAATAAGAATAATCACAAAATCCCATCCCTGGCAACACACCCCCCCACTCTTCATAGATCTAAACTTACTCCCTGTTCAGTACATCCACACTTACTACTGTGCAATCTACATCTACAGGACCTTAAATTCCAATATTAACCTTGACCTAAAATGCTTTCTTGATAGTTGTGACAGAACCCACAGGCATAACACCAGACACAAACATCTCTATGACATTCCCCGTGTCCGACTAAACCTTTACAAAAATTCAATGTATGTCAAAGGCCCTAAAATCTGGAACACCCTACCTGAAAACTCTAGAACTGCAGACACATTCATCACCTTCAAAACTACCATCAGAAAACATCTTATCTCCCTGATACACCCTGTCAACTAATTACACGAATACCACCTGGTGGTTCACACTTACACTCACTCACCCATTTGACCATAAACAGAAATATCAATCTCAATCTTAAAATAATGAATCTTAACTAGTCATAAGTGATACTCCAATACTAAAACTATGTATAGTGCCAAAACAAAAGCATTCACATTGCTAAACTCACAAACTAGTACGTATTTAGTCGTTTAGCCATAATACCAACTTACCTCATAATTTTGTAATATTTTAAACTTAAGATTTAATCTAAGTCTGCCCGAAATGCCTAGCCATGCTAGGTGTTCTAGTGGTACACTCTGTAATCATTATTCTACTACATGTAAACCACACAATAACCAAATTCTGTAAACTCAGCATTGTAATCCTTATAGAGAATAAACTTTGAATTGAATTGAAAAGCGATCACATGCAGCATTACATTTTTTGACAATACTTCCTAAATAGCACATGGGTTCAGAGTGTACTGAATATAAATAGATTAGATTCAAATACTTGTTACCATGAAAGTATTGTGAAAATGTAGGTGTGAATTTGAAGACTTAATGATGTGAATATAAATATATCTTACTGGTTTGTCAAGTTACTGGCCAGTTTCAACGATTCTTAACCTGATAGTGTGGTACACACATCATTTAATTGAGTGGTATAAGCTCATACTACCTGTTTAAATTTTAATTTGTAAATTGAAATTATACATATATTTTATAACAAAGCTCTAATATCATCTCTTATAACATAAAGCTCCATTGTGATCTCTTATAAATATCTACTATCATTTATTATAACATAAATCTCTAATAGATTTCACTACAGTCTGTTGACTTCTAGATGATATTTCTAGGTGCATATATTCTCTAAAAGTATTTTCAACTTCAGGGCTGGGAGGAGATAACTGATGCCAGTGTGACCTTCCTCTTGAGAACTATGCTGGGTAGAGGTCCTCGTGATGCTGTGTCAGTCCCTGAGTTGACTGTGCCATCTGACACGAATAAGCTGAAAAAACATTTGGGTCTACTGTTGGATAAGGTGACCAAAGGCAGAGTCCAACTCAGCCTTGATACTCCAGCTCCTCCAAACACTACAGGTAATTTGGACTCTCCCATTCTGAGTCCAGGAATAACTACCCTTTCCACCCAGTGTCTCTCCTATTGTAGGTCCAGCAGTACCTCTTCTCCCACTTCATGTCTTTTCATCCTAGATTCAAGAATTACTTCCTTTCCCCCCTCATTTTTTTTTCTTCAGGGGTTTTGGAATAAATTTGTTTCATGCATCAGTTTCTGAAAAACCTGAGCCCAAATTTAAAATTATTACTTTTTTCACCCTTTGGGTTTTTCTTAAATTTATGACAAAAAAAATTTAAATTTTATTTAAAAAAAAGCATAAAAAAGGTAATGTCTAGAAAGGGGAAAAATGCATATTTAAAATATTGGGAAAAACCAAATGCTTTTTATGCCAGTGTTGGGGGGGGCACCAAATTTTTTAAAATGGGGCTATTTTTTGGGATGACTTTTTTTGGAAGGGGGGCTAGGAGACTTTTTTTTGAACAGAAATTATTTGATTCCTTTTCCCTTATTTGGGGCCCTTAACCTCCCTAAGCCAGTTTTAGTGGAAAAAGGCTGGGAATACAGTACCGGGGTTTTTGTTTTTTCTTACACTAAGATACTTTTTTACTGTTTCTTGTCAACTTTTATGGCAGTTTTTTTGATACTTTTTTTTTTTTTTAAAATAGAGATTGAATTTGCTTTTTGGGGGTTAACAAAATTACATTAGTTTGTGTTTCTTTTTTACTGGGGTTTTTTAAAATATACAGTACACTTTTGGAACTTTTTTGGCTTATAAAATCGTTTATGATAATAAATTTGCCATCAGTACCGTGAAAAAACCTGTTTAAAAAAGATGAAGATCCCTTATAGACCCCCCACCCTTAAACCCAGCAGGGGAAACAACCAGGGAAAGTTCCATTTGGGGTCCCAAAAGGGAAAAACCGACCCAGATCACCCGAGTTAGGTCAGAAACCGCCTCATGTCAGCTCGAAGTTTCCCGAGCAAAATGCCTAGGAGTTTACGCATACCCGGGAAAATTATCGCACCCCTGGTGTTTGCCCTGCATCCCAAAAGAAGATGTTTCTTTGTACCTGGGGATGACCATATCCCAAAAATTTTGATCACATCCCAAGAAAAATGATCACATACCGGGAGATGATCCCCATCCTGGAAAAGGAGGTGAGTAATAATTTTAATCTTTTTTAATTTCAAACCTTTTAAAAACGGGAAGATGCATGTTTTTGGGGTTAACAAGCACCTCATATGTTTAAGTATTTTTTCCTGAAAACCAAAAAAAAGTAAAACGGACACTGTTAACCCCATTTCCAGGGGTGCTAGGGGACACAATAGTCGGGAATAAATGAAAGTTCTTTTTTTTTAAAAATTTTTGGTTTTTTTTCCCTTTTTTTCAACACCCCGGGCCGTATCCCCCCCGAGGCGGGGGGGCCCCAAAAAAGGAAAAAAAACAAAGTTTCTCCTTTTACATTTAGTAATATATACAGGAAAAGGGGGTTACTACCCCCTTCCCCCGGGCATTTTAGTTGCCTCTTACAACCGCAAGGGTTACGGGGGAAAAATTTCTGTTCCCCTTCCCCATGGAGATAAAAAGGGAAAAAAACAAAAAAGAACTAAAAAGAAAAAAAAAGAAAACCCAGAGGGGTGTGGTTTTATTTTGTTGTACATGTAAGTGTGTGTGACCTAAGTGTAAAAGAAGTACAAAAACGACCGGAAAACTTGCATTTTTCATGAGACAGAAAAAAAAGGGCCCAGAAACCTACCATCTGAAAACAAATTTCAGGCTTTCGTTTTAAAACTCACTTTGGGAGGGCGGTAGTACCTCCCAGGGGGGTTTTTCTGTCTACCCCAAACCTTTCTACCTATAATTTTGGTTTTATTACCCAAATTATTAAAAAAACATAAAAACCCATTTTGATACCAAACTCCAATGCATTTAAATGGGAAAAAAATTTTTTTTTTTAACCCTGCTGGCCCTCTTCCACCAAGGTAGGGGGACTGAAAAAAAACACTTTCACCATCGTTTCAAAAACTATTACTGTGTTTTCCAGAGGCACCCCATTAAAATGACGGTTTAGATGGGTCCTTTTAAACAGGGCCCTTTACTGATAAAAAAAAATTTTTTTTTTTTTTCACCCTTGGCCATTTCCCACTGAGGCAGGGGGGACCCAAAAGGAAAAAAAAACTTTCATCATTGTTCAAACACTTTCACCACTTCATACTTAAAACCGTCCCTTTTCAGAAGTGCCCCAGATATGAAAAATTTAAATGCACCCCCAAACAGCCAATATCCCCAAAACCCCCCCTTTAAAGTGGGAGGGAATTTTACTTCCCACCTTAGGACTCAAGTCTACTAACCCCGGGTTTTTATTCTTTTTTTTCCCGTAAGCTATACGGGGAAAAGGGGATTACTAGCCCCTTTTCTCCCCGGGATTTTTGTTGACTTTTACAACACGCTGGGTTACAAAAGGAAAAAATTTTTATTCCACCTCCCCATGGACATGAAAGGAAAAAATAAAAAGAAAAAGAACTCTTAAGATAAAATCAAAGGTACTCAGATGATGTGTATACATAAATGTGTACATGCATGTGTAGGTGACCTTTAAGTGGGAAGTAAAATAGCAAGCTATACCTGTTATCCCTTTTGTGTTTATAGACAAAAAAAAAAACCCGCCCTCCTACCATCATGTTTAAAAAAAATTTGGTTTCGTCCACAAACCCTTTTTGGTTTGGGCCGTTTACCTCCCGGGTTTTGCCCGTCAAACCGGGCCCACTACTAAAACATAACAAATTTTAAATCCTCATTACCCTATTCAGTGACACTAGTTATTTATTAGCACACATTCATATTTGACTCGATATTTTCGACTTACAATGAATTTTGTTGAAATGTGACCCCATTGTAAGTCGAGAACACCTGTAAAAGCAAGGGGACAGACAGGAACAAAATTATAGACCAGTATCACTGCGCTTCCTGATTTTTTGTTAAAAAGAAATTATTTAGGGAAGGTAAGTTTTTCCCTCACAACCCTCCGGAGTTCTTGACAGAATAATGGCACCCAAAGCCAGACAGACAAGGATGGGTCAGCTGCATATTTTGGATTTTAGGAAAACATTTCACAGTGTACCCCACCAAGATTGAGTCCCAAATTAGAGGGGAAAACAAGATGAGGTAGTTCTACAGTAGATCAATAAATAGATATTAGAAAACAAAGGGTGATGTATGGGAAGATATTTCAAGATGGGAATGTGTAACAAGGGGGGTTCCCCAAGGATCAGTTCTGGGACTGCCACTATTTTAAACATATGTTTTATGACCTGTCAGAGAGAATTGACTCATATGTACTGTATCAGTGTGTTGCTGGTGACAAAAAAACTATTTGAAGTACAAAAGGAAAGGATAGATACGGGATACAGGTAGCCCTCGGAAAAAACGGGCAAGAATGGTTAAACAAGTGGTTACTAGAATTCAACCCATTCAAGTGCAAGGTCATGAAAATTGGGGATGGAGAGAGGCAACCAGGTATGGAAACATCTTGAGTGGTAAAAAAACTGCAAATATCTCTAGAGAAATTGTTGGAGTGAGTATCACACCCAACAATCGCTATAGGTACATATAAATCACATAACATTACAGCATATGCCTGCCTTCAAAAACCCTCAATAAAGAATCTTTTAGTACTCTATGAACAACATGGGTTTAATCATAAGTATGCTCCTGGAGAGCAAAACGATGCCACAATAAAATGTCACATTAGTTGCATTTGTGTCCTTTTACCTAACAGCATGTAGTCACCACCTGATAAGCAGAAAAAGTCCAGAGGTTTGCAGCAAGATTAGTCCCCAGTGGTGGGGAAAATTTTGGTGGTATAAGAAGAGACTAAAGGAAATTTGGGAACCGGGCAAATGCATAAATAATTGTGTTGTATTGTTTTAGAAGAAAGAACAACTGGGGAAGAAAATGATTACAAACACAGAAGATACTCAGAGGCCTTGACAAAGCAGTTGGGGACAGATTTTTAAATAAAAGGGCATAAGAGCAAGGAGAGCCACAAAAATGTTTAGGAAATGCTCTTCAGTTTCAGGGTGGTGAAAAAAGAAATAAGCTAGATGCAGAAGGTAAAGGCAAAATTCAATAAAAATTTGCAAGAGTAAGTATGATAAAGCCCACAAGGCAGGAACCAAGAATGCCAGCAGTTGTAGTCAAGAGGTGGGGCCAGGAGCTGAGACTCACCATCGACAAACACAACTCGGCAAGTAAATACTTATTCGCACATACACACAACATATACATGAATTTTTTATTTAGTCTTCTCTTTTTGTCTCATAAGCACACAAGATAACAGGTACATCTTGCTACTTCAACTTACATTTAGGTCACACTACACATGCATGTACATGTATACACACCCATCTGAGTTTTCTTCTGTTTCCCTAATAGTTTTAGTTCTTATTTATTTCCTTTCATCTCCATGGGGAAGTGAAAAAGAATCCCTCCTCCGTAAGCCATGAGTGCCTTAAGACACAACAAAAATTTCCAGAGAAAGGGGGCCAGTAACCCTTTCTCCTTTATAAATTACTAAATGTAAAAAAAGAAAACTTTATGGTTTTCTTCTTTTTTAAGTCACCCTTCCTCAGTGGGAGATGACCATTATGTTAAAAAAAAAATAGCATATACAGAAGATATTAGCATTATGTGAAGAATGACAGTAATAGAACTTCTTCTTGTAGAGTTGAGCATTTTATGGAAAACACCCAGGCCACAAGTATGGCATCCCAAGACCAGCTCACAGATAGCAATATTGACACTGACACCACAAGTCTAACGAAAACCGGTGCATTCGCCCATCAGAGTAGCTTTGGCAGTATCCTGGAAGATCCCCTCCCGAAGAGAGTGATAGCCCAGCGGGCTCCCCAAAAACCCCGCGGTCCCAGGAAGACGAACAAACCAAAACACCGGAGGCAGGGAACCTTCGATGAAGCCTGCAGAAACAGTCAGGAAACCTTGAAATTACCAAAGTTCCCTTGAAGGAAAACACTATTGAGAGTCCTGCAATATCTTTACAGTAGAAATAATGATGACATTTGGTAG